TCAGTGTTTTTTCTTTAAATAAATTCGGTGTGTTATTTCAAGAAACGAAGAGGTAATTTTTCCGGGACTCGCTAATAATGTTTACTTGATTTGGTGCAGATTTTGTACAACTATGGAGCCAGGAAGTTTGTGTTGGTTGGAGTGGGTCAGATAGGATGCAGCCCCAGTCAATTGGCCCAAAATAGTCCTGATGGGAGAACTTGTGTTCAGAAAATTAATTCTGCCAACCAGATTTTCAATAATAAGCTCAGATCTCTTGTTGCTCAGTTCAACGGCAATACTCCTGATGCGAGATTTATCTACATCAATGCTTATGGGATCTTTCAAGATATAATAAGCAGACCTGCAACTTTTGGTAAATATCCCGTTAGCTTTCAACGTATTAAACTCTAGAAGTCTGTGCTTTTCAGTGATCCGGACTGGGACAGACTCCGAGATGTTAAATCACTGGATTGACCATCAGGTCACCGGGACCTGCCGGCCACCTGCTTAATTTGCTTTGTGCTTGTTAATTTCAGGTTTTACGGTTACAAATGCTGGATGTTGCGGTGTTGGGAGGAATAATGGCCAAATTACATGTCTACCTTTACAAAATCCATGCCGAAATAGGAACCAATATGTGTTTTGGGATGCATTTCACCCGACTGAGGCAGCAAACGTAATTATTGGAAGGAGATCTTACAGTGCACAATCTGCATCGGATGCATACCCGTTCGATATTCGCCGGCTGGCTCAATCCTGAAGATGGAGCTAGCTAATAATTGTGGTGATACGTCTATGGTTATTTGTTGTTGTTATTGTGGTTATTTGTTGTTGTTATTGTGGTTATTTGGTGTATAATGTTAGTTGTTGTTATTGTTGTTGTCAATTATTTTTATTGTCTATGGTTACATGGAATTTTAAGTGTAAACAAGTTATGATAGAGTCTTGTCCCAGCATTGAATCTAGTGTATTCATGCAAACTTGTATTGAGTATGAGATTTGGCTTGAATTAAATTTTTTAAATTGCTATAAGATGTAAATTGAAAATTGAATTGAGTAATATTATGTTTTTATTTTGATTATACATTATTCTAATTAAAGGTAACAAACATGTATATATTAGATATAACATGGATTATATGAAGATAATTGAGTGATTAAAAGGTAAATTAGAAAAATATTTCATATATTCTCAAATAATATTTTGATAATAAAATTATATTGAAATGAGATTTGAAAAGAGTTTCAACTTATTTAAGGAATCAATAACTATAATGTTAAGAACAAAAATAATTTAACAAAACAAATATACTTCATGTTATAATATTTATATTAGAACATATTTATTAAAGAAATAATAATTATACTGAGAAACTAGTCATTAATATTATAAGTCAAATCATTTATGATTTTTTTAGTGTTTAAAAAATCATGACAAGTTGTAGACATTATATTTGATCTTCAAAAATAAATTGATTAATTATTGAATTGAAAATAAATTAGATTGTCTATTTTTTTAATCCTATTTTATTTAGGATTATGATTTATATTTGTTCCAACTTATTAGAGAACTTAATGGGTCACACACATAAGAATCACTAATAAGAAATTAAAATGGGATGATTAATCAAGTATGACTTAATTGTAAATAAGTTTTAAAAATTAAGGATTAGAATGTAATTAATACATGAATTACAATTTTAGATCTAGAGAAAAAATCAAATAGGGACTTGATTGGATAAATTTCTTGAATTATTCTGAAATAACATATGTGATATTATTTAAGAAACAAATTGGTATTGTCATTTATATGTTTTTAGGTTTCTTTATAAATAAAATTTTATGTCTTTTATTTTCTATACATGGAGAAAAACTATATTAACTATATAAATACTTTAAAAAAAAAGAGAGTTAACACTCAAAAGTATAACAATCATTCTTTTCTAAAAGGGTTTAGGTGATTTTTTATTTGTGGTTCATATAGATTAACATTAGATACTGGATAATTGGATGACTTGTGAGCCAGATAAAAGAGGTGGCAAAATTATTTTGTTATTTGTTTTGGATTCTAGGTGACAGCATCATAACATATTTGGCTAAAGGTTTTTTTATCCATATTATGCGTCTACGTAGCATTATTTTTCAAAAAAATTTATTATTATTATTCATGTTGCCTTATTTAAGATAGTTTGAGCCTTATTTTAATTTGAGTTTATGTTAGCCTATTAGGTCATTTAATGTTTACTTTATTTCAAGTATAAATATTATTTTATAAGATATTATTTTTTGAAGTTGAACAATAAATCGTGGTCTCATCTATTATACGTGAAAGATGAATTCTCTTAATTTGATTTTTTTATTGAACTAGTTTTATTTATCAAATAATTAATTAAGCTGCATAATAGTTTCTATATTTTTTATTAGCATCTCTTTATAGGTGTTAGATGGAGGTTTGATTTCTATACTCTTGGTGCCTTGATATATATTATCATTATGTCAAGCTCAATTATAAGTTTAAATTTAGTTTTATTAGGAATAATCAATTTAATTATGAATTTCTAGATCTTTAAATCTATGAGGTTCATACTATTAACCTTGATAACTTAAGCACAATCTCTCTAACCATAAAATATAAATTTTAACCAATATGTATCCATATCTCTTTCTAAGTTCAAGACCTTCATCTTAAAACTATATCATATTATACCTAAAATGACATAGAAAGACAACAAATATCTCATGACTGAACATGTTTAGTCATGAAGATAGAACTCATAGTAAAGTAAAAAACTTTTATCTTCAATGGAACTTATATTATTGTCAAGAAAAGAAAATAAACAAATGAACACACCACCACTCTCTTTTATAGTTTATAACTTGTTTCAATAATAAAAAACACATGTGTTAAAAAGAGTTCATAACAATTCTTGACCTTGCCTAGAGAAATCCTGAAATGACAGATTATTTTAAATTAAAATTTGGTATTATCAACTTATCACCTCACAAAACAAGTTAAAAAGATAAATTATATCAATATGTTAAACTAGTAATCCTCTAACGTGAACCTTGATAATTAGAAAGCTTTATTCTTCATTTTCTAAAGAGAAAAAAAACTTAAAGTACTACACATTTACAACTCTAAAAATAAGTGGAAAAGTCCTTTATTTTACTAGACCTTATCTTCTCAAGGCTTTAATGTCTTAAATGTTACAGCTTTTTAAACTAAGGTAAAATGGTTAAAAATGAGAATTAATTGAGTTGACTTCTATTAAGTTAAATAGTTGAAGTTTAGTGATAGAATGATTTTGAAGTATTGAAAGAAGGTGAAGACTAGGGCTAGAATTACAATGTCTTTATTTAAAGGTATTATTCTTATTCCTCTCCCTTGTAGCTTGATTTAGGATTTTATAAAAGGTATATAAGCAAATGAGGGAGAATCTAGAGATGCGTGCTAGCAATATTTTAATCTTTGATACTTAATAAGAGATGATCAATGACCTTTGATTGATGTTAAGGACTAAAGCATGTCCAACTTTATAGTAGATATGGGGAGGCATGCACAACTTGTATTTTTTAGCTAATGTGTGGAAGATCTATTGTTGCATCTTTAAGGAATTTTGGGGATAAAAAAAATATTTAAGTGGTTAGAATTGTAGGTCATGATTGTGATCATTGATTGGGTGCTAGAGCGAGACTAATGTGTTTTTGTGAGAAGATGAGGTTGAATCATGGGTTAAAAGCCATGAACTTGACTAGTCTTTTTTTTTTTTTTTAGTTTTAAAGGAGGAAGAAAATTAATAGTGGCTAGGTGATAGGTTAAGTGGTTTAATGTCAAAAATGATATCTTGAAAGACATATTGTTCATGTCTAGCATTAACGAACAACTAGTAGTTTCCATGTGGGTATTTCAAACCATCTTGAAAAATCTTCAATTTTTTCACAAGAGAGTAGGTTATCTAGTATAATAAGACCATCTTGAAGCATAATGAGACCATATATCATCCGGTGCAATAAGACTATCTTGATGTATAATGAGATCATCTTGAAAAAAATTCAATTTTCTCACAAGCGAGCAGGTCATCGGCACAACAAGATAATTTTTATTTTTATTTTTTAATTTCACAAATAGATAGATCACCTAAAATAATAATATCATTTCAAGAAATATTTATATTTTTCATATATAAGTCGGTCACTTAAAGAATTGTACCCATCTTAAAAGATAAAACATAATCCCTTTCTCAAAAAATTTTCTGTGCAAAATCTTTTACAAGGCTTTGTACCATAAACGTTATAAAGCGAGCGATGCTTATCATAATCAATTTTTTTTTTTAATTTTTTCAAAATATTTTGCTAGAAGTCCAAAAAAGCAAAACAAATATATAAAAAAAAACATGTTTTAATTGCATTTCAACCATTTACATGTTTTTTTTTTATAATTTTTAATTATTTTTCTCTTATTGATGTCCTTTTAAAAAAAATTAAATTTTAAAAAATATGTTCCAATGCATTCATGTTTGAAATGATTCTTAATTACTTTTCTTATGAAAAAAAAACATATTGGGAAGCAAATTGGCCTAGTTTTCCAGGGGTCGTCTTCCTTCCACGAAGATGAAGCCGAAAATGGATGTGAACACAAATGTGAACACAAACCAAAGCATCTCTAGAATGGGGTGCTGGTCTAAGAGAATGAAATAACCCTAACAAGGGCCCCTGACTTGTGAAGGAAGAAGATAACGCCAATTACTACTAGGTCTTATGTTGACTGCGGAGATTGCCAGCATTTCCCAGCAAAGATGAGCTTGATATCAGCTGCTTACTTGGATCATAAGTTTTTCCACGTGATCTTATCCATCTTAAGTTGACAATTGACATTGCCAGCGTTTCCATTGTTTAAATTATTATTTTCTTTATATTTTTTTATTTGCTCTTGATTCGCTAAAGTTAAAAAAATAAAATAAAACCTATAAGATATTATACTTACCCCATCACATGACATGTATGTATGGCCTCTCCGTCTTTCTTTATCAACAAGTCGACTCCCTCTTGAAACGGAAACCGGCGTCGTTTGAGGCTCTCCGCGGGCAACCGCCTCCTTTCTTTCACGCTTGCATCACAATTGTAATCACAGGCGCACGTAATGGCGTGAATCACACATTCCAATTTAAATTCAACTCGCCTGTCTTGCTTCGGGGAAAAAACACAAGAGAGGATAAAGATTCCGAATTTGAATGGTTCACGCGTGTTTAGCTAAAGCCAACATTGCTTCCTTCTCCATTTTAGGGTTTTAAGCAGTCAGCAGCAGAAGAGGAAAGAGTATCAAATTGCCCTTCCATCGTTCCTTCTTAATCAGCCCCACGAAATCTTCTTCTTTCAAAATAATGGAAGGGAAGAATCCAGTGCGGTTTACGTTAGGAAAGCAATCGTCACTAGCACCGGAGAGAGATCGAGAAGAATCTGATTTTGATATGGATGGAGTTGATCCAGGAGTGAGGCTAATGTACTTAGCTAATGAAGGAAATCTAGAAGGGATCAAAGATTTGGTGAATTCTGATGTTGATGTTAATTTTCGTGATATTGATGGCCGTACTGCCCTTCATATTGCTTCTTGTCAAGGCCTCACTCAAGTTGTCGATCTTTTGCTCGATCATGGGGCCGAAATTGACCCCAAGGATCGTTGGGGTAGCACTGTATGTATTTGGATAATGATTTTGTTTTTCTGATTTGGGTTTCTTCAGATTGTTGAAATAGTTGTTTTGAGAGATTAGATTGCTGGCTGCCTAAACTTTTTTTTTTAAAATATTTTTTTATGGGGTTGATGATGTTGTTCGGCCCGAGATTTGAGTTTGATTCCTAACAGGCCTATGGGTAGCTAGACTTTGTGGATTATGAAGTTAGAAATTTTGCTTTGTGTTGAATAATTTTGTTGTTAATTTGGAGGAGGCATGCGGTGTATGCCATTTGAGTTAGCCCAGGCAATTTGCTCAAGCATTTTGTTTTGGGCCAAAGGGTTTCATATTGCCAGTTTGGAGTGGGTTCTGCTGCTGATGCTAGGTAGTAAGATATGGGGTGCTTTCAAATTCTCCAGGTGCATGGAGAGCATTATAAACCCGAGCATTCCTGGGGTTTTTTAAATACTAAAATGTATCGTTCGGTTTGTTGTTTAACTGATAGTCAAGAGTTTTTTTTTCTTTTCTTTTTCTCAGTAAACTGATATTGCTTAAACAGCCTCTTGCAGATGCTATATTTTACAAAAACCATGATGTGATCAAACTCTTGGAGAAACGTGGTGCAAAACCTCTGGTATGTTATCAATTTTGTTGTTTACATGATGCATTAGTTTACTTTTCACCTGTTTTTCTTATTGTGTCTTGGATCGGTTCTGTTTATGTAGATGGCTCCTATGCACGTTAAGCATGCACGTGAGGTCCCGGAATATGAAATCAATCCTGACGAACTGGATTTCACTAACAGTGTGGAATTAACTAAGGTCACTTGTTCCCCATATCTTTTTTCACCTTCTGGAACTTATGAGCTTCTGTTTGTCTTCTGACAACATTGCTTACAGACCTCTTTGAGTTTGAGCTAGTATTTTATTGTTTCTTATGTTAATGTTGTGAAGATCAATGTCCTTTTCTTCTTGTGTTGATACTTATTGTCAAATGTTACAACTTGAATTTAAACTTTGTAGATGATTTTCTTAGTGAAACTCTTATATAATTATATAAGTGGCGTTTATCCCTCTACTGTAAGCATTCGAGTTGAGTAAGAATACAATGATAAGTTACTTAGGTAATGAGCATATTAGGTAATGAACATATATATTTCAGATAAGATATCTGAGGTGTTTTGGCTAACTCTATGGTCAGACTGTATTTGACCTGTTTGAAAGCACATCTCATTTTCAAGTCGATTGCATGAAATATGCCACAGGGAACCTTTTGTGTAGCATTATGGCGAGGAATTCAGGTTGCTGTTAAAAAGCTTGGTGAGGAGGTGCTTTCGGACGAGGATAAAGTGTGGGTTATCTACACCCTGAACCTTTTTTCTTAATATTATCTAGTTTTGTATGCTTAGGTTATCTTGACAGTTAGTTTTGCACAGGAGAGCATTCAGAGATGAACTTGCATTGCTTCAGAAAATACGGCATCCAAATGTGGTCCAGTTTCTGGGTGCTGTTACTCAAAGTAGTCCAATGATGATCGTGACTGAATATTTACCCAAGGTTTGTTCTTCAATTCTGTCGTTCACCATGGGAGTGGCATTTTTCCAATCATATTCATTCTTATTGTTTTCTGCTGGATGTTTGTTATTGCTACAACTCCATTATTTGTGTATAATTTTTTTTGCTGGTTGTTATCTATCATTTTCAATGCCAGTTATTGTGGTTTTATTTTTCCTGTCTGCTTCTTTCTTATTTTATTATCATTATTTCTTATTATTGAATTTGATGATGATAAATTGTTCCCCTGATGAGCCCTCCTTTGAAGTCAACTTGTTTCTGGTATATACATGCACCCATGTGGATATGATTTCTTAAACAAACTTAATAGCACTAATGTTATATCCTTGTGAACATGTCTGCTTCATGTGTGATGGATTTGTCCTTTGGATTTGATTTGTAAGTAAGGATGGGAAGACCATCCTCCATTTCTCTTACTAGCATCCTTCCTCCTAACCTGAAATTCACTGGTATTGATATTAGAGACTAGATCTTTGTAAATATTTACTTCTACTTAGTAAATGGGTCAATTCTGTTCTTTCACATCAGCAGAGTGGTGGATCTGCATTTTCTCTGTGGTGACATCTATCTATCTATGTGACATCTATCTATCTGTTTTTTTTTTCCCCCTGAAGAAACTAAGAGATAAAAATGCTTTTTAGATGTTCAAGTCATGAAATCTTATATCATAAAATTAACATTTGTAGTTTTTTGTTTTCAATTAATATTACAGGGAGATTTTTGTGCGTTCTTGAAAAGAAAAGGAGCATTAAAACCAATAGCAGCTGTGAGACTTGCACTTGATATTGCAAGGTCTGTTATTATTTATTATTTTTATTTTTCGCATTAATGCAGTGTAAACACAAATTTCAAGCCTAAACTAAAGAATGTATAGTGGGCTTGTAAATCTTTGGTGTTTACACTCCCACCCCCTATAAAAGGCCTCCTTGCTTTTTCTTGGAGTTTATTAATAATTTGTTTCAAAAAGCGATCATTTTTTGATTTGATGCTTATACATTAGTGACTGACCCACTAAGAACTATAAATAACATTTTTTAGCTATATAACTTTGTCTGCTAGAAGAAAATGTCAATCAAATGAATAGCTAGGAGAGTATCATATATTCAAGAATTGTGATTCAAGACTAAAAATCTCATGATTGACTTGTACTTTCGAAGGTTCTTACAGTTCTGCTGTCAAACATATTAGGATATAAAACTGGTCTCCAAGCCTGGGATAATACATGATTTATTGCCTAGAGTTTTTTTTTTTTCCATAACTTTGATTGTTCAATGCATAGCATATAGTTTTCCACTAATTTAACAATCATTTGAGAAACACAAAAGTTTTGGGGAGTCATTTATTTTATGTAAATGGGTAAAAAATTGGACAGTGATGCCTATGTGATGTAGCACTAGCCAAATTGATGTAGAATAAAAAACCAAGATCACCAGCAAGGAGGCTAATTTAGAACAGTAACCAAAATTCACCAATAAGAGAGTCAACATTCTTGGTCATGAAGGGAACAAAACTAAGACGCATTCGATCTTAGGGAATCAGCACAAGAGAGATGCATTTAATCTTGAAGAACATTCAAAGTCTTTGTTTCAATCATTAATGATACATTCTTAAAATAACTAATGTTGAGGTGCCTATTTACATGCACCAAACCAACTAAAGTAGGAAAACCTAATAAGTCTTAATTCAAGAAGGAAACTAAAATCCTAATTTAACTAATAACTAATGAATATTAATTTTCCTAAATAATAAAATCTAAAATAATAATACAATATTAAAATTCTTAAATAAATAAAAATTAATTCCTGTTGTTTCCCTTCATCCCTCATCACTGAGATTTTAAGTTCTTGTATGGATGATATATCGTGTCAGATTTTACTGTAAAACAAAACCTTCAAGATGTGTGACATGCTTTGGTGGATGGAGATGAAGATGAAAATTTTAGTTGTTTGCCTGTCACTTCACTCTCTGATGACAGTCTTGAAAGAACTCTTCTATTTCTGCAAATGTTGCAGGGGAATGAATTACTTGCATGAGAATAAGCCGGTACCAATAATTCACCGTGATCTTGAGCCTTCGTAAGTTTTCTTGTTCAACTTAGGCTGGTTTTCTTATTTGACATGCACACATGTCTATGACTATAGTGGAACTTTCAGTTAAAATTCATTGGATTCCTCAATTTTTCTGACATTTTCAGCACCTTTTTATGTTGCTTATGAGCAAGATAACAGAAATATATTGCGGGATGATTCTGGGCATCTGAAAGTCGCAGACTTTGGAATTAGCAAGTTGCTTACAGTTAGAGAAGAAAAACCTCTAATTAGTCATGACAATTCCTGTAAGTGTGGCTTTTTCATCTTTATGAACCTCATTTATTTTTTATGAACCTCATTTATTTTGGAAGTTGCTAAACCAAATGCCTTGTGTATTCATTGATCCATATTCCTGTAGTTGACTTGTTAGATGAATGTTGTTATGGAAAATGTTTGTTTTGTCATTGACAGGGCGGTATGTGGCTCCAGAGGTTTTCAAAAATGAAGAATATGATACTAAAGTAGATGTTTTTTCCTTTGCTTTAATCCTACAGGAGGTAAAGATTTCTCAGTCATATCATTACTGGTCTTCTTGTAATAATGGGCCTTTGTATATGTTAGAGCATTTTCTCACTGTGCACCCAGAGTTCATGCTTAGCAACTCAACAATTTGACAAAGCATATACATGCAGCCTCATCTATTCTTGATCTTTGATAGATTTTATGATTTATTTTAAATCTTTGACTATGGACATTTGTTATCTAATATACATTAGATGATTGAAGGCTGCCCACCATTTTCTGCTAAACAAGAACATGAGGTTCCTTCAGCTTATGTGGCAAAAGAGCGTCCGCCTTTTAGAGCTCCAACAAAGTCCTATGCACATGGACTTAAAGAGTATGCCATTCTGTCTCAGGGGTTCTTTTTACATGAGATTTGTTCTTTTTTAAAGTGTTGAGTTTATTGCAATTGTTCTTAAACTAACTCTGGAATCTGACATCATATTTTTCTATAATTGGATTTGGTATGAAAACATAATACATGTACGCACATCATTAATAAGAACCACTAGTAAAACATAAGCAAACATTAAAACAAAAGAAATTTTAAGCAAAAGATGGTGCTCATCTAGGATGGATCTTCAGTTAATTCCATATTGACTAGCACAAGTGATGTAATAACTTCTCATGAGTTGAAACTCAGTCTAGAGGCTTCATGAGGCAGAACCTGAAGCATGCTGCACTTAAAGCTTCTTTAAAAAAGTCTACTACCAGAATCTGTGAATTGCGTTGTTAAGAAGTCCTGGAACCATGGCCAAACCCAAACATTTCTGCATGTAAACAATGACTATCAGACAATGCCTTGACTCACCAAGACAGAAAAGATGGTGTCATGGTATTCTTAAGAATTGTTAATTCTTATTTCTTAAGATCTTTTAATCTACTTTCCATTTTGGAATCAATTCGAGAATGGAGTGATTTGAATTTGAATTCATATCATATCACTAGTTTGAATTCCATTGAATTTTAAACAATTCAAACCTAACATGAAATTGTGTTTCTTTTTGTTCACACACAAGATTTTTTAGTCAACTTTCCATTTGGAATGATTCTAGATAAATAACTACTCGAGTTAAAATTGAACCCTGTGCAATCTATGATCCTGAACAAATCTTCCTAATTCATCAAATGCTGGTCACTGTAGAAACATCCATAAACAGGTTTATAAAATATCTTCATCATCACAAATTGTGTATTCTAATATAAATAGGTTTCTCACAAAAGTGAATTTCTTGATACCTTCCACTTCTACTGTCAAGATTGTTCAATGTCAACTGATCTTTCTTTGAGATCAGTTATGGGATAGAGAAATCTTGACGCTGTCTTCATTTCACAGGTTAATTCAGGAGTGCTGGCATGAGAATCCAGCTAAGCGACCAACTTTCAGGCAGATACTAACAAGACTGGATGCCATTCAAAACAGTATTGGTCATAAGAGGCGTTGGAAGGTTTCTCCTCTGAATTTGTGTCTGGGGATACTGTACTTTACCTGATGAGTAACCACAATTTTGACGTTACACTTTATCTGACTGTCTCTGAAGCAGTTCCCGGGAATAACTAATCATTTCTCGGTGTTGAATTGCTGTAAATGCTTTATTCTGAGTGCCCCTGGTGGGATTAATACATTAGAGTCTTCCGTTATGTTATTCTTTGGTGCTCTGAGTACTAGTTTTGATAATAAATATTGAAAAATGATGCTATTAAATTTATGAATTTAACCTTCTCTTGGGAGCTACATTTTTCAAGTTCTGGTTCTTTAGGAGAGCATTTTATCCCTTTGACACTACTGTTTTTGTAGAGCTAACGGTTTTTTTTTTCCTTTTTTTGGGTAAAATGCACAGGTGAGACCACTGAAATGCTTTCAGAATCTGGAGGCAATGTTAAAGAAGGATCGTAGTCTAAGCCACCGCAGCTCACGTTCTTACAGCAGTATATGAATAAGCAAGAGTTTGTTACCCACTTAGCTTTTATATGTGCAGAGATTTTTATCAAGCATTGGTGATCAAAGGATTATTTTACTAGTTTAGAGCGCAGCTTTCCTGCCTGTGTAATTCCATTTGCAATCGGATTTTCGTTGTTTGATATTTATCAACTCTCCCAGTGAAATTGTGGGTTGAGAAACAAACTCCATATATCATTCACTGTTGTAGTTCAAAACACCCTGGCTTCTCAAATATGTACATCATGAGTGCTATAAATTTCTTTATCCTGATTAAAATTTATTTTGCTAATCTTTGATGTGGATGATTCTAAGATTTAGATTTCCTGGTGAGATGAACTGCAGATTAGGTGGTTGATTATGGCATGATCAACACCAATCGTTCTGATTGGATTACTGCAAACTCAACCGGATGTGCTTGTGGTTGTCCTGTCAAGCTTCCAAATGCAAAGAAATAACCAGAGGTGAATTGAGTTGATTTAAGCTAATTACCGGACATGTTTCATGCTTGAAAGGATGTTATCCTAATCAGTCGATAAGCTGGCTTGGGCGAAGCAACCGCACTGTTGAACTGGTCACTTAGGCAGCCAGCGATTTAACACTAGCCTATTCTCAAGCGATGAGCAATAAGTCCATCGGATTTGGATTCTCATAATTGGTTTGAATTTAATGAACTTGGATTTGGATTCTTTTATGGCCTTAAGGGAATATAAATAATCATATTATTACTTTTGAATTCTACTTGCTAAGTCAAATTGCAAGATTCATGGAAATGAAATAGATAATTAAAGTGAAAGAAAAAGGCCACACAAACTTGTTGGTAATGCGAGAAAGTACACATTTTTTATTTTTTTATTTAGTACTAGATTAAATCCATTTCTTTGGATAGGCCAGCTAATGCAGCATGGGAATCAAGCTCATTTCTTTGGTCAAGTCAAAAGACATACTAAAGATATATGTGAATTTTACTTCTTTTCATTGGTGGAGTTTTAAATTTGAATTATTATCAAAAACTCAAATCTATGTGGGAAAAATATTGTGAATGTCCACAATAAATCTACAATGTTTTTTCAATTTTATCCTTTCCTATATAAAAAAATAGCTAGTAGCCAGAGGTAATATGTTTTTTAATAGAAACATGTCATTTAAAAATTTGATGGGGATAAAATAGTTCTCTTTGCATTTTATTTAAAGAATAAAATTACTAAAATAAGCTTTTAGGCAAAAAAAAAAAAAACTTTCATCAAGGGCTTTATGATCATTTCCTTTTTGAATGGATAGCAAAGTTACTTAAATGGGACATTTTTATCTATTAGTAACATAAAATATTAAATAAAAAAAATGAAATGTGGCTAAATTGTAGCCATGGTTTTTTTCTCATTTCTGTATCCCTATCTTCCTTTTCTTCTCTCTTTCATTTTCCTCAATTTGTTTTTTCTAGTGAGGAAGCGGTGATCTTTTTTAGACCCCATTTAGAAACACGGTTCAACCCTTGTTATTAAAAAAAAATTGAATTTTTTTAATTAATATTTTTTTAGTATTTTTGGATTGTTTTAATATACTGATATAAAAAATATTTAAAAAAAAAATCATCATCTTGATGCATTTCGAAATGAAAAGTACTTTAAACTGCAACAGCTACCACAATTCTAAATAGGCTTTTAATTCAATCCTTAGCAACACCTACTACAAACCTCCCTTATCTTCTTCTCTCGATACATAAAGAGCAAGAGCAGGAGAAGAAGCAACTTACAAAAAAAAAGAAGCTTTTTTAAAGAGAAACAAAGAGAAAAGGCAACATAAAAACTAGCGGAAAAATTATTTATTTATGGAAAGGAGTTGATGGTGAATTCTTTCTTGATTAAGGCTTCACATAATCACATCACCATGCAATTTGGATCGAGCCAATACTTTTTCGGTCGTCCCAATGAGAGGGCTGAATTGAAGGATAAAGTGAATGTCCTCGAGCAACTATTGGCAACTCTTAATGATACCTCATGTCATAATTTATTTTTGGGTTATTCCTCAATTCAAATTTTCTCTCTTAAAAAAAATAAAAAAATAAAAAAATATAACAATGAAAAGAGGATGCCAAAGCGTTTAGAAAATAACTAAAAATTGGTTGAGGTAGTTTAAAAATATAAAATTTAAAATTTGATAGTATTTTGTTGACTAATGAGAGCTTGTTGATAAAGAAAATTCAATTTGGGGAAAAAAAAAATCCAAAATCAGATGTTTATGAACTCAATTAAATGTTATTGAAGGTTTAATTGAATTTATGAAGGGTTTGATTGCAAGAAAAATTGATTTTGAAGTCAACTTACTTTAATTGGAAGGAATTAAAATTATGAGGTCAAATTATAATTTTTAAGAGCTAATTTGATCAAATCAGGGGCTTAATTGCATAAATATTAAAGTTTGGTGGCCAATTAGGGACTTATTTGAAGAAATCCGAAACCAAGGATCAAAATATAAAATACGTGTAAATAGAGGGGCTACAATTAAATCAAATCAGGGCCAAATTAAAGAAATTAAAAGTTTATTGGTCAATTGAGGGTCAAATTGCATAAATCAAAAATCAAGGACCAAGTTGAAAAAGGCAGCCAACTTCAGGGTCGACGATTGAATTTGGCAAGAATGCAATTGAATTGATTTTTAAAATCAAAATTGCAATTGAGGTCTTTATTAAACAAATCACAAATTGAAAATTGATTTGGGCTTTGGCATATTTGGCGTCGTTTTCATTTAAATAAAACGGATTATTTTGCCTAAAAGGCCACTCTTTCATTCCCTGTTCATAAAAAAAAAAGGAAAGCCTGAAATGTTGCCATTTTGAATGGCATTATAGTCTTTCTTCTTCTCCTAGACGTGCAGAGAAACATGGGAGGGAGCTGCGTTCCCCTATATTTTCACCTCCTTTTCTTCCCCTTTTTAGTTAAAAAAGATGCCAACCAAATACCTTATTTGCTGACCTAACTCGTGGTGTCCCATGTGTTGGAGAAATGGAGGAGACGTGCCTTTTTGGGTAGTTATGGGTTAGCAACACAGTGGCCGTCCCAACTATGTCTCTTTCCTGTTTTCAACTATAAATACAGGGGAGACGAGGGCGACAAGAGGGAACATAGAGGAGAGAAGAGAGAAAAAAGAAAAGAAAAAAGAGGACAAAGAAACAGAAGAACAAAAAAGAAAGAATAGAGAAAAATAGAGTAATAGAGAAGTAAAATGGAGAGGAAAAGGGAGAAGAACCACAACGAGCACCAGCGCCACCGCTTAACACCTCCAGCAGCACAACTAATGATTGCAGCCATCGTAGGTCAGCCATTCCCCTTTCTATTTTTTTTTTCTTTAGCTTCATCTTGCCTCCATGCTCACCACTGTTCACATAGTCTATGAACAATGGAAAGCACTATTCATGGATGGGCCAATTTTGGCGCAGCCAAATATTTGGACCCAGCCCAGTCCAAAGAAAAATAATTGGGTTGGGTTTAGTGTAATTATAAAAAAAAATGAAAAAAATTCTTTTGGAAACTTATAATTTTTTCATATATTTTTCTACTAAATTTTGGATAATATCGATTTATATTTTTACACCGTAAAAATATAAATCCGGTATTAAAATATCTATTTTTCATTAACTAAAAAAAAAACAAAAAAAATATCTTTTTTGTGTATACAACCAAGTGTCTTAAAGCTAAAAAATCATATTATGGTTTTTGTTTTCATACACTAAGAAAAAGTGTTTTAACATGCATTTTGACTTTAATAACTAGTTTATTAAAGTTAAGAGAAAATTGGCCAATATTTCAAAAAATAAAAAAAATATGTTTGTTTGGTTTTAATACTAGGAATTACAAATTTATATGTAAAACGTATTTTTAATATTAATTTTTTTATATTGTGCTTAGATTTTTTTATTAGATCATAAAATAATGTAGCTTACCTTGGGTATGATGTATTTGGGGTGTTAATATCTTCTCTTTACTCAACCAGCTTTTGTACCCCATCTCTTAGACTAGTTAGGGTTTATAGTGACCAAAATATTAGGTGGTGACTTCGATTTTATATTTTATTGATAAGAAACAATAATTCCTTATCTCTCCATATTTGCTAGATAAACTTTTATATACCTTTAAATGGTGGATGATCGTCACAACGTCGCACATATATAACACCTGTGCTCCACCTCTTCACCCTCCTAACTCAGGTGAAGATCCACTTTCTATTCTCCTCCTGTATCTTTTGTTAACTAGATAGATAAATTGTATTTAATAATACCTTTTAAATTAATAATAAAAATTTTCTTTTAATTCTATTTTAATTTTTTAATTGTAATGTTTGTTTTATTTATTTTTAAAATAATTACATATAATAGTGATGAAATGTAAAATACCAACAAAATTAATGATGCACTAAATCCCTTGGAGAGTTCTAGAGACTTGGAAAAAAATTATTAGACTTGCCCTTGTTAGATGTAGTTCTTCGACATATTAATTCTATCTGTAATATGCATATAATCATTTATAGATTTACCATCGGTTTATTCTGTTGGTAATATACATATAAATGTAATTCTTTAATGGATTAATTATGTTGGTAATATTCCATAAACACTAATGGATTTACCAATGAAATTATTGCTGGTAAAAGCTTTTTGTTTGATGCGATACTTTCATCAATAAATCCATCAATGATTATATTATTGATGGAATGAATGATGGAATAGAGATCTTTGAAAATTATTGGAATAGAAAATGTGTAATTATTCACTCCAAACTTCGATTATTTCTTATTTGACCACTGAGTTAAGCTAAATATTTATTAGAAGTGTGAATAATAACAATGAAATGTTAATATAATCACTCTAAACTTTTATTAGAAGTTTTCATAGGTATTACTCATATTGAGTTAAAATTTTAGATCAATCATAAATTGAAAAAGCCTTATAATAAGATCTAGAAGCTATTATTGGAGATTTGTATTAGTTTTCAAGTTAATTTAGGATTCTTATTCCTATTTTATTTAGAACCCTTTTATTGTTTTTTCCAAGGTTGTTTAGGTAGTTTGTTTTGACCTATTATAAATAGGATTATTTAGCTTGTATTTAAGTTTCTTATTTTTTACAGACTTTGATTTTAGAATAATCTATTGTGTGTGAGAAAAGAAATTCACTTAATCTGGTTCTTCTATTCTGACTTATTAAAGAATTAACCAAGCTTTATTACATATTTTATACTTGTCGTTTATGTTTCTTTATAGGTGTTGGGTAAGAGATTAGTTTCTTTAGTCTTAGTGTCTCGATATAAATCATCATTGTGTTAAGCTTAATCACAAGTTTGAATTTAACTTTCTTGAAAATGGTTGATTTAAGTGTGGATTTTTTAAATATCTATATCTATGGGGTTTGCATCACTCCCTCGTTAGGAATCAACCCTTTGGGTGACCCATATATCTTTCCCTTTTTCCCTTATTCTTCCCACAGGTTTCTTGGCTTTAAAGTATAAAGTTGCAAAACATGTTACAATACGCTATCCAAGCATGGAGTGATTATATTCACATTTCATTACTATTATTCACACCTCCAATAAAATATTTGATCCAATGGCCAAATAAAAAATTATGTTTATAAGCATACAACTATAAATTAAGAAAAATATACCTATGAAGTGGATGGAGTAGACTCCTCTTATACACATATTAAATTAACTAAGGTCTAATCATCCCTTATTGAACGTGTAGCATCCTTAAAATTCATCTTGATCTAAATACTCTAAATAAGACTATTACATGCATCTTCAAGCTTTTGTGCCCTTAATTATGTAATTGACCTAACTAAAACTTTTAATGGATCTTTTGATATAGTTTGAATTGCATCATCCCCTCTCTTCTTAAAAGATTTTGATTTTAAGTCATCATTTATGAAAAACAAAGAGAAAGAAAAAAAATATTAAAAGTAGCATTAACACCATACTCACCTAGTAAATCTACTTTGTAGGCTTTGTTATTAATTTTTTCAAAGATGTCGAATGCACCATCTCCTCTCAGCATCAACTTAAATCTCCTGCATTTAAGAAACTTCTCTTTACATATATGCTCCCAAACCCTATCATCTGGTTCAAAGATAATATTTTTTTTGACCTGTATTAGTTTTGAATCCATATTGCTCATTCTTTTTCTTTATTTACAATTGTACACTCTCCTAAAGAACCTTCATTACCTATGCTATGCTATTGTTATCATGACTAATCCTTTCACTAACAAGTAAATGAATCAAATTTAAAGATGTTAAAAAATTAAAGTCAAATAATTTTAAAAGGTGAATAATCAAAATATTAGTTCCAATCATAACAATCTTCATTTCTTTGTGTTAATCCTTCATACTTTTAAACCATTGAGTCAAATTCTATAATCTCTGAAATAATTATTAAAAAATTCTATTGATCTTGTTTTATATTGAATTAAAATTTTAAGTGAATTAAACATTGAAAAAACCTTTTAATAAAGATCTAAAAGCTATTATACAGGATTTATATTAATTTCTCAGTTGATATAAATTTTTTTTTCTTCATGTATTTATAGAGAGGGAAGGGTCTCTCTATGTCCCAAAGATGATTTGATTTAGACCCTTGTTCCATTGGGATAAATCTAAATCGAAAATGTGAATTCCTTGATAGACAAATCATGGTCGACTGGCCTTCTTTGGTCTCTTTTTTTGCGGTTATTTCAAGAGTCTTCTTAATATGGGTTAGGTGGTTGTGAACGAGGAGATGTTAGGCTAGAAGGTGATGTGTTTTTTTTTTTTTTTTTTAACTTTTGGTTGGCGTGACCCTCTATAATGCATTTATTGGATTGGGTCTTGCATTCAAGTCTTGTACCTTTCAGCACCATCTGATGATTTCGTAAGAAAATCATTTTGCTTTATTTTAGTGGTCCCCTTCAAGAGAATATTGGTTAGGTTAACATAAATATAGGGCCTTGCGCACGTACAACATTGCCCTAATTTTTTTCGAGCTCCATGAACTGGCTAACATTCTCTTACGAAAAACCTTGTTTTACTTTCTTAATACACTTCAAAAGAAGGGAAGAACATAAGACTAATTAGTGGTGATATGACCAAGAAAGAGATGGGGGAAAGGAACTACACTTCCCTCTTCTAGATAGACATCGTGACGCTGCTGTTTCGAATTTCAACCTGTTGAGTTACTTTTCTCGCGAAAAACAACCATCGTTTCCCCATTTGTCTAACTTGAATGGAGGATTCCTTGCATCCTCCATGTGACCGCTTTCCATTAAGGGTTGTGGGGTCTCAAGGTGTGTGTGTGTGTGTGTGTGTATATGTATATATCGTAATGTATTTCGACCTTTTACATTATACGGTGAAGCAGGAGGATAAGGCACTGGCTAGCTAGTTGCCCTTAATGGGGTCCCCGGGGCTAAGGATATGGAGAATATTCTTTTGATGTGAAATCATAAAATAGTTCGACCTGTGAGAATAAAGATAATTAATGGTCCTCTTTGGGAAGCAAGCTTTATCTTAATAGAAGGTATATTGCTTACGTTTGAGAAGGGTTCTAGTGTATACCAGTTGAAGAGAAGGGGTAGATATTACTTCATAAAATCCACTTGCATGTTGAAAATCCGAGATTGAAAATATTTCAAGCCCCCCTTGTATTCTACGCAAAGTACTATAGAAAACATATTTGAGGTAGGACATACACAGTAGAGAGTAAAATTCTATATGGGGTATGATTTTTTTATTTCATTTTGTATTGATTGGTTTTGTAGTTGCGGTCAAAGAACAAAGAATTTTCTTGCACGAGTCTTGACTTAGTTCGTAATGCTGACGGTCTTCTACTTTGGACTAACAATGGAGGGGGAGGGCTCCGTAGCTTCTAATTCATTAATTTTTTGTTACTTTTTTTTTTTTTTGATTAACGTGGGTGTCCGGGCCAGCTTACGCGCACCACGACTAATCCCACGGTCCACTGGATATCCTGCAAGCCTCAGTGAACAGGTTAGGCACCACAGGGATGATAGGTGTACCACACAGCAAGGAGCCAGCAGAACTAAGAAGGACACCACTCGCCAGCCCCACTCCTACGAGGACTCGAACCGAGGCTCGAAAGAAGGCGAGCAACGCCTTACGCCACTGAACTACAAGCTGCTTGATTAATTTTTTGTTACTTGACTATGAAGGTGGTAACTTTTTAGAATTGTCTGTTTGTAGGTCATCCATGGTCTAAATTTGTGTGGATCCCATGCTATATGTTGCTTCTCGAGGCTATGTTGATGTTGTTTCCATGTTTGTTATATGAGTAAGAGGAGCTTCACTCTTTTTTATTGTACTTTTACTTTTTCTTTCTTTAATTTGTATTTTTTTTTTCGTGGCCAGTCTCTTGATGACCGTTTAATTAAATCCTCAATCATTATTCAAAAAAAAAAAAAACAAAGAAAAAGTGGAGAGTAAAATTAAAATTTTCAAAAATTTAGGAGGATTATAGCCCCCTTGCTACATTCTTAAAACAAATTTAGGAGGGCCAAGTTCCTCTCATGACAAGTGTTTATTTGATAATGCAATTATATTGTGATTCAAAATGTTTTCTAAAATGACCTTGGAAAATATTTTTTTGGATGACGGTGATATGAAAATCTCAAAATTATGTATTTAAGAAATCCATAAAAAATATTAATTTAATTTCTTTAATTGAAAAACACTTTTATTAAACATATTCTAAATTGTTATGCCGATTCTGAACATAAATGCACCTCTAATATCTCTCGTTTTTTTTTATATAGAAATAGTATCTTTGTTTCACAATAATGCTTTCAGTTATTAATCAAGTAATATATAATAATAGTAAAAAAAAATTATAATTCTAAGAGTGTTCTTTGATTAAGATACGTGGATTGTTTATATATTAATATTTTAAACAGTATAATTTTACCATTTATTAAATCATTAACACACAAAATGGGCCATTACCACATATACAAGCAGAAAAATTTAAAAAGAAAAATCTCATACCATGTTAAAAAAAGAGAGATTATTTTTACTTATGAGAAAAACTTTTAATTAAAAACTTTCAATTATGATTTCTTAACATATTTTTATTATAAACTATTTTTACATATTATAAGCTTTACTTTAAGATTCATATTGAATATTTTTTGGTAAGATGTAAAAGTAAAAAAATCAAGAAAAATTAGATCGGTCCTTTAATGTTCTCAAATGCTTGTGATGGTATAATTGTTGAATTATGACTTATATGTCTTTTAAAAATTGACAATAATTAAAAATTCAAAATTGATATGCATTGAGAAAGTAAATATATTCTATTTTTTAAAAAAATTATGCTGATTTTTTTATTTTAGTTGTAATATAGATATTTTTTAATTTAAGTTTAATTAAAAAAACATGAACACCGATACCAAGTTGATAAAAAAATAAAATACTACAAAAAGAATATAAAATTTAGGTGAAATATTTTTTTAATTTATATGTAATCTATTACTATTCATGTTTAAAAATTATAAAAATAATATAAAAACACATAATTATAATAGATATGAAAATATTAAAACAAAATTGCTAAAAAATAAATTATATGTAAATAATCAAATGAAACGTTTGGCCCTTATAGCGCTAGCACTGTAGCATCTCACCAGTGAAATAAGATGATGAATAAATATAACATCTTTACAAGTTAATATTAGCAATAATTAGCATGTATAATATAGCTAAGCTTATAAAATGTGATTAATTAATGTAGTGTGAGCTTGTATAAATGGGCAAAATGGACATAATTAATGAGAATCCAAATTAAAGAGGCTATAAACTTATTCTATGGTATTTACTCATGGACTTCTTGTACTCTAAATGAGAATTGAAAAAAAAGAATTGATTTTATCAAATGAGTACAAAAATAAAATCAAGGCATTCTATACATATATAGGATTGAAAAAACTTAATCTCTTCTAAAACAATTATTTAATTGTCGCTTGTGGTTCTTATTGGTGGCAACCTCTTTTTTTTCTTTTTTTCTTTCTACAACTTCAACTTATTATTCTTTTTATTTTGTCTATACATCTAAATCTTGTATTTAGTTCTATATGATTGTTACACAAAAAATTGTTGTTTTCTATCAGTAGATAGAGAGAATGAGAGTCGTTAACTCATATTTTGATCACTAAAAATTCTAACTTTTTTATCGTTTGAATGAGGATTAGTTGCTTAAAGGGAATGCATTAACATTCTTAATAAGCCTTACCTAAGGTAAGCTATATTATTTAATTTTCTTATATAACTAAAGTATTATTATGTTTTCTAATTGATGGTTTGTCTAAAATTTAATAAAAGTTCTTCTCAGTAGGGAGATCCTTAATTTATTAGATAAAAACCTAACTGTTCTAATGTCAATATAAAAAACGAACTACCTTTTTATTTAATATCAGAAATATGACTTACGTATAAATTTGCAATTCTAAATACTAAAATAAAATAAAATAGGTTTTTTTAGTATTTTTGAAATGTGGGTGACACGACCAAAAGATTGATGTCTTCTCTCAAGTGCAGGAGTGTCGAAGTAATAAATAACCCGGCAAGACCGGGGTCGAACCACAGGGAGGTTAATTGTACAAATTATAAATAACAATAATACAACAACAATAACAATAACAACAACAACAACAACAACAACAACAACAACAACAACACAAGACCGGGGTCGAACCACAGGGAGGTTAATTGTACAAATTATAAACAACAATTATAAAACAACAATAACAACAACAACAATAGTAATAATAATAATAGTAATACTAATAATACTAATACTAATAATAATAATAATAATAATAATAATAATAATAATAATAATAGTAGTAGTAGTAGTAGTAGTAATAATAATAATAATAATAATAAACAAAGAGAAGAAGAATAAGATGATGAGAACTTGGAGATGGAAAATTAATGTAAGGATTAAACAATAATAATAACAAATGTCAAGGTTAGAGGTTCCATTAATGGTATATCAAACAAGTATAGTATAAACTCTTATTATTGAATTGGAAACCACACACAAAGGAGGTTCCAATCAGATTATATATTGTTAACATGATTACATTAGTCATCTTATTCAATTAATGCTAATACTTGTAAATCTCGTCAAGCATTCATGATTATAACTTATGTTAACAACAAATCAAGTTCCTTTCATAGCTCAGGTGTCGGTTATACCATACATTATGGGCTATGAAAGTGCCAAGCATTTGTTGTACCAAGTGTTATACAACGTAAATCAAGATTAGTCATTTAACAAGCAAAGTATTAAAGAGTGAACAAGATAACAAATATAAAACATGTTAGTATCAAACATTAAAGTCCATATTAAGTTTACATTATACTTATTCTTACACCATTAGTGTAACCTTTTCACCTTGACATAACTAACTTAGCCAGACATAATAAAAGAAAGCAAAATAGATAAACAAAATAAGAACATAAAAGTTAACTAAGTAAAGGAAAGGAAATGAAAGGCATAAACTTGATATTAATGAAAGCAAAGCATAAACATTACAAAAAATACAAAGAGAGAAAGGAAGAGCATGATCTTGATCTGGAAACCAAGATGCCTAAATGCATGGCAAATGCCTCCTTTTATAGGCCAAAATTGGGAACTATTGATTTGATGACTAATTGATAAGTGGGTGGCCAACTTTTGACTTGGTGACAATCCTTATCTTCTCTTGTCTGCCCAAAACGTCATTGATAACGTCAAAACTGGAGCCAGTTGCAAACATGAAAGTTGTAGGCAATTGTCTCAGCTTTCTTGTGTAAAAAATTCAGCTCATTTGGACTTCTAGAACTCCAGATATGGCCAAAATACCGAACAGTGCTCGGGCTGGAAGACAGATTCGGGCTTCTTTGTTGTTGCTACAATTTGGACTTGATAATGGCCTTTTTAGATCTTGGGCTCCATATGAAAGTTGTAGGCCTATCCATATGAAAGTTGTAGGCCTATGTCTTACCTTTCCATCCATATAAATTGGACCTAAATCTGAGATATATAGCTCTAGATATGACCCAATTACCGAACAGTGTTCCGGTTTGGATTGCACCGACATCTCTTTTCTAAGTTTGGCCATCTCTTTATCCTTGCAATTTAAGTTCTTCAAGTCATCAATCAATCCTTTCATTTATGTGATAGACCTGCATTAAAAATAGACATTTACCACAAATTATAGGTATCTTATATTATTAGATACATTATTATAAAACATATTTTAGTTAAGGAGTTATTGATACTTCAAGTGCAAAATGATGATATAAAACCATGATAAAAATGCACTTTTAAGTACTAATCAAAAATCAAACACCACTTTAAACCGAACGCTCTGATACCAATTGTTGGGAATTCCGACCGGTGATGTACTGATATTTGCTCATAGGAGGCCAAACACACTGACACAATATTTAACGTGGTTCGGCAAAACCGCCTACATCCACGGGAGAAGCCATTACATTATGTAGGGAGAGTACAAGATTTACAACAATAGAGAAGGAGGAATCATCCCCTCTTTGAGCAACTCTCAACCTCACTCTATTTCTCTCCTTTTGTGCTGCAATGGCAGCCCACTCTCTCCTACATTTCTCACCTCTTTGGCTCTTCTTCCTCTCTCATTTTGCTCTCTCATATATGCCTCTATTTATAGGCATTCATGGAAGCTCTTCTTGGTTTGTTGTCAATATTGATGGCTACCAACTCTAGCTCATTTAACAATGGTGGCCACCAACTCTATCTCATTCAATAATGGTGGTTGGTGCCTTAAATGAAATGGCAACCAACCTAACAGGCTGCACACTCCAATCTCCCAAGCTCCGACCTTTGTGCTATTTCCAACTGCCCGTTAGAATCCATCGAAACATCTGATTGTCAAAAACATTCTTGCCCGCAATTCTATTATGCTTATGGCGATGGCAGCCTGATAGCTCGCCTATACCGCGACTCTATTAGTCTACCGTTAAGCAACCCAACAAACTTGATAGTCAATAATTTCACATTTGGCTGTGCCCACACCGCGCTAGCCGAGCCTATTGGAGTTGCTGGGTTTGGCCGGGGAGTCCTTTCTTTGCCTGCCCAGCTTGCTACATTACCTCCCCATCTTGGGAACCAATTCTCTTATTGTTTGGTGTCTCATTCCTTTGATTCAGACCGACTTCGTCGACCAAGCCCGCTCATTTTAGGAAGGTATGATCATGATGAGAAAGAGAGAAGGGTAAACGGTATTAATAAGCCTCGTTTTGTATATACTTCTATGCTCGATAATCCAGAGCACCCTTATTTTTATTGTGTTGGACTTGAGGGTATTTCTATTGGTAGAAAGAAAATCCCGGCTCCAGGGTTTTTGAGGAAGGTTGATGGAGAGGGGAGTGGTGGGTTGGTGGTGGATTCAGGGACTACTTTTACTATGTTGCCGGCGAGTTTGTATGGCTCTGTTGTGGCAGAGTTTGAGAAACGATTTGGGCGAGTTAATGAGCGAGCTATAGTTATTGAGGAAGATACTGGATTGAGTCCTTGTTATTATTTCGACAATAACGTGATGAATGTGCCAAGTGTCGTGCTGCATTTTGTGGGGAATGGATCAAGTGTGGTGCTTCCTAGAAGGAACTATTTTTATGAATTTTTGGATGGTGGTGATGGGAAGGGGAAGAAAAGAAAGGTTGGGTGTTTGATGCTGATGAACGGTGGTGACGAGGCTGAGTTGAGTGGTGGGCCGGGGGCTACTTTGGGGAATTACCAGCAACAGGGGTTTGAAGTGGTTTATGATTTGGAGAACAAAAGGGTTGGGTTTGCAAGGAGGCAGTGTGCATCTTTATGGGAAACCTTGAACCAGGATTAACAATTAAACCTTAAGAGGGTTTAAGAAGTCCAAGGTTTTGGGTTTTGTTCGTACAAGTTCAGTTCATACTCGCATCACTTTTTTGCTTTTGGCATTGAACTCAATAATGTCCATTGAAATGTTTATTGCTTGGCACATAGGAAGGTGGACGCGAGAAGCAAAAAAACGAAATGCCTGTAAAAAGCTGTGTAAAGTTGGAATCTATAGTGGTTGTTGTGATTAAATAGTGTTCCAGGGATGGATGGTGTATTTAGTTTGAGCAATGCTTTGTACATTATTCAATAAGAGCTGACAGTGACGATGCAAGAACGTTTTTCCACAGTTCCCTTTCTCATTTACTATGTGTTTGTTGAAGCTCTTTAAATCTTCTCCAATCCGCAGGTACTACTGATCATAGTTCCCAAAATTAAAATGGGATGAAGTTAATGTCACTGGAAGAAGGTAAATTTTTATCCCATTGGTCAGATTTTTTCATAAAGGCAATGATATTTTTGCCAATCTCACCTTCTCACTATGTTATGTTGCTGCTGCTACTAAATTTGATATTGATCTGATCCCCAGATTTGCTGCACAATGTGGATCATCTTATGGTTCTTATCTGAATGGCGGCTACCTGTTGGACCTGCTATTTAGGAACATTGAAGATTAAAAAAAAAAAAAACATGCATGGCCATTCAAAAAGTAAGAACCCATCCACAGCATTTCAATTGTTGTTTTTGTAGTGCCTTGATGGCTTAACAAGGCCCTTGGAGATTAGATATGGGAAAATAGCATCGTGTTGGGATTTTCTTTACTTCAATTTAAAGCTAAATTCCCCTTGATAGAGTAGCAATTGAACATTCGATTCATGATTAGCTAGCGAGCTATAATAGAGTAGCAATTGAACATTCGATTCATGATTAGCTAGCTAGCTAGCTAGTTAGTAGCTAGCTCTCTTTAGAAGGTTAATAGCGTGAACCCGCAGAAAAGCGATTATCCGGCTGTCGGCTGGTAGATTTCTTGAATCTTTTTGTGACGAGAGCACTCAACATCAAATTTACACTAGAACTGATTCCCCTGCTTTTATTCACGCTTGCTGCGGTGCCATGTATACTCGTAGAATGCAATCCCAATCGTTCATGCCGTACAGGTCTAAATGATGCAAACTTGGCTCATCTCTGGTATAATTCACGTGACTATTGCCCAACTACTTATCATATCTATACATGCTCGGCCGTGCCAGACTGGGAATCAGAAAGTTAAAAAAATGGATGTGTATAATATAAATTATATTTTAAAATTTTATTTAATAATTTAAATTTTAAATTGAGATAATTTTTTTACATGGTATTAAAATCTTGATAACTAAATAATTATATAATTTTTATTTATTTAATAAAAAATTAAATATAAAGTAATGTAAATTTATGCAACTTTCAAATCTAAAAAATTTTTACTTAAAAATATATAAAAAAATAATATAAATTATATTCTAAAATTTTATTTAATAATTTATATTTTTAAATTAAAATAGTTATTTTACAGTATTTACATGCTGCTCGGATTCTCGACTGACGTTTGATTTCATAGGTGTTCCAGTTACGTGAAAAGAATCATTTTGGGATCCATTAAGGGAATTCTTTCTTAGTACATGCACCATGGCAGCATAATATAACACCACCAAGTTTACTAGCGTGAGTGAAATCTCAATTTTTACTGCACAATGGAGCTCATTAATTAATTAGCAGGAGTAGCAAAGTCTCAGCACTCAATTACGATTTGTATCTTCTTCTTTATTGTAAGGGCCACGGGGGCCTCGAGAGAAGATGTACGTGTGCAGCTCCCAAGGACGAGCTGGCATGGCAGTAGAGGAGGGTCAACTCAGTCAAGCAAAATGCTAACCAGCTGTCAACCAGTTATAAGATGTCGACTGCATCTCAAGAGTTAGGCTTCTTCTGCGCAGGTAGACCCAACCCGGCATATGTCACCTCGTTTTTCCATCGATCCTGTTTACTTTTACCTTGAAGACATCCATTTCTATCTACAGTAAGACAAGAATTCTAACGACTCCACAGAAGAACTAACCTTTTGAAATAAGATTTTTGAAAACCCTTTTTGATACTGAGTTATTTATTTATAGTAACCAAATTGCAAGAATTGTGGGAACACTTCTTCTTTTATTATTTTTTATAAAAAAAAATTAACGTATATAATTTTAATTCGATAACGAAAAACTTCAGTAATCACTGCAATTTCTGCGGTATTTCCTCCTCTCTTTTTCCCCTGTAAACTTTGGCTTGGTAGCTGAGTAATCGAGTCAAGAGTCAACCATGCAGGTTAGCGGAGTATTACGTGGCAAGGAGAACAAAACGCCGCCAGGATCTTCTGTTCGGAGGTGAAAAAACGTGTTCTCGATTCCCCAAAAGCTCAAGGGGTTATGTCTCTGTATCTTCTGATCTGGACACAACTGGCTAGCTGTACCTATGCGTGCGTTTCTAGATACTTCGCCACGTGTGTTTTTCTTGTGCCGTCATCTCGGGCCTGCGCCTCTCTCCTGCCTTCTACGCAATTTTCTGTCTCTCTCCTTCTTCATTTTTTGTGCATGTTGTTTGGAATTGGATGTCATTCTTACACAGCATCTTTTAAAACCCACAAAAAATTTGCTCTAATGAATGGACTAATGTAGCTGATTATATGTTTTTTTTTAATGCATGGGTCATGTTTTATATAATTATTATTTTTACAATTATTGTAATTGTTTTAGAATTTTTTTTATATTTAAAAAATTATTTTATTCAAATTAATTTTAAATAAAAAATAAATATTAAGATAATTCAATTTGCACGGTCCCAAACACATCCTAATCCTAGTCATTGTGGATGAGTTTTTCTTTAATTTATAATTATATTATAAAATATAATAAAATGTATAAATAAGATATTATATAAATCCACGGTAATTTAATTTATTTTTTATTTTTATCCTTAATTTTTTTAATCCAAAAACTCCAGTTATTTATCCAATTACGCAACCTGTCATTTTCTTCTTTCAAGTGTTATATCATCTCTTCAGCAACTACATGGACAATTTTCTTTGCATTAATTTTCAAAGAATAGCATAAGAGAAACATAAAAAAAAAAAATCAATTGTTTTCGGCTTCTTCAACACTTTAAATTGAAAAGAAATGCATACCAGAGGCATAATTCAAAAGGTCCCAGAACTCAAAACACTGATTCCCTTCAAAATTCCCACTTTTTCTCAGCAGCCAAACACAATAAAAACTACCAAAGTGAACAAACAACTAAAAAAATCCAGTAAAGCACATATCTTCAAAATTTCTTAGCAACCAAACACAGGTTAACAGAGCTTTTCCCAGAAATAAACTTCCATCGCCGCAATTGCCAGTGCTGGAGCCACGTTAACCCATCAAGGTGCCAATACCCAACAGACAATAAATAAATATATCAAGAATGTTATTATTCAGAAATGAGATTTTCTTTGAATAATTCCATTATTCACAAGCATTTGGGTAAAATTATCGAATCCAGATAGAATGCGTAATACGGATTCCTTGAAGAAACTCTTGGAAAAAAAACAATTGACATTGACGGACGCCTGGAAAATAAAAGGATAAATTAGGCAAGTAGTTTGAAAAATACAAATGATGAAATGATGCAGAATCAAAAAGTTTTAATAGAATACATTTAATTAAATTGCACGGCCCGCAGCGACATTAAGTATGTCATGCTTGGTGACCGTGATAAGATTTGATTTTAATTAATGTCGTGGTTTATAATTATAACAGGACTAGTTAGCCGGTTGGTTCTTTAAATTAATTGATTAATTTGTTAGAAAAAGTTATAAAATTATCAAAGAAAAAGGATCTTTGAAAGTTATTATAAAAAATTAAATGTAATTCAATTATCAAATTAAAAATTATAATTATTTTTAATTATTATTCTAATTTGGAGCTATTAAACCTCTTTTTAATTCCAAATATATTTTATTGATTTATAAATATACTTGTAAGGTTATTCATATAATCTGTTTAGAATAAATCTTTATTTAATTATAAAAAAATTTATACTTGATAATTCTAAATCATTCATTAAAATTATTCATTAAAACTATTATGTGTGAATAATAATTTTTAATATTTTAATTAGAATTTATTTTTTAGTCAATAAATTAAAGAAAAATATATATTTTTATTCATAAAATATATTTAAAAAAATTCATAATTTTTATATAAAATGATTAGCTAATTATATAATTATATCCAACAGGCTGCAAATTCACAACTGTCATCCCTTCAAAGCATAATATATCTAAATATTATTATTTTAAAACATAATAATTATTTTATTTTATTTGAAAATAATAACATTTAATAAATAACGAGTTTCAAAAGCACGGTAAGATTATAGCGTGCTACTTATTTAAATTTTTTAAAAATAATGTTATTCTTAAAAGAAAAGAAAATCCAAAATAAAATGATTAAACATGGATTTGCTTTCCTTTTGTGCCCTCCAGCCTGGCGCCATGAAGTTGCCAGTTCAGCTGACGCCAAGCCAACAAGCTGGTTGAGCTTCCCGTCGATTTCTCCTTCCATTTGTTATGGATTTTGAGGGTTTTTTGAGTTAAGGAGTGAGGGAGATGTTATCCATTTACTTGGATTGTCACGGGCAAAGAGGAATTCACTTCCAGGTAAGTGAAATGTTTTTAATAATTGGAATAAATATCAAGTTGATTCCTATACCCAATAATTTCACATCCCCATATGATTTTACATTTTATTAGATGGTTTATATTTATTGTTTGGTTAATTTTTTTATTTAATATATATAAAAGTAATTTATTTATTTTATTATATATAAAAATTTATGTTGATCATGTAAAGAGTAATTTTTCAAAACTTGATAAGTAAATATAATCTCGACCAAACTATAGAGTAATTTTTTCTTTATTAGAATTTGTTAAGAAAAGAAAAAACTCAACAAAAAAATCCAAAGTATTAAACAAGAAAAAATCTTATAGTCAATCTTAAATTCATTGGAAAAAGTTTTGTTTAGTTCATTTACCCTTTTTTTTACCCTATAGTCTCTTTACTTTTATAATTTTAATTTTAATTTAAAAATTCTTTTTATTAATATTTTAGTCCTTGAATTTGAGAAAAGAAAAAAAGTTATTTGAAATCAATGAAGAAAAGAAAAAATTGATAAATAAATTTTTAATTATAAAACTCATTTTTTTTCGTATTAACGAGTTTTATTTTATGAGAAAGTTTGATGTCAATGATTTTTTTCTATAAACATATATGAAAATGTAGATCATTTTCCATT